GGGTGAATGAAACATAACCCAGACAGTACGTGATGACGCTTCATTCTTTTCATTTTAGGCATTTTAGGCTTCCACTTACAGTCGTAGACCGCCCGGCAGGCACCAGAACCGAGACCGGGCAGCAGCCGCTGGATGTGTTTGATGCAAGTGATGAGATATCATTGTCGTGTTGGATCCTGTAGACGTGGCTTTCCTCATTCCCTACTGCACCATGTCAATGCGATTCCAAGGAACAAATAGTACATCCGATCGTTCAAAGACCTTAAGAAAGATGAATAATAGCAGGTTTTGCACCGAAACCCCGGACTCCCACCAGTGAAATCCGAGACGGTTCGAGCATGGATTCAAACAAATTCACAATGCAAGAACCTCCGGGAAGCCGAGTTGAGTGACTCTACCACCGTGGCCTAGGTCGCTCCGCTTTGCAACGAGCAGCCCTCAAGGGCGATGCGGCCGAAGTGCAGCGGCTCCTCGAAGCTGGAGAGGACATGGAACTTGAGGACGAGGAAGGCCAGGGGCCCTGGAAGCAATTTGCAGATCATGCTGAAGATACCTGGATCCGCGCCGGATTGCAATGCCAACAGTTGGGGAAGGTTTTGCAGGAGCATGGCAGGTGAACTTAGATACTGGATGATACTGCAGATGAAGGATGTTTCTGGATGTTACTGTGACGAGCTGCAAGTTGCATCACCTGGTGCCCCCTGCAAAAAAGGGACGTGCCAATATGTTGCAAGTTCTGAAGAATGTGTTTCTTCTCGCAGGGAACGTGCTGAGCCAAACAATGTCAACTCAACGTGCTGAGGCTTTCGACCCCTCCACCTCGCAGGCAGCGCGGCGGTGGTCGACCTTCTTTTGGCCGCAAAGGCCTCGCTGGAAGCAGAGGACAAGAACGGCAGGGAGCCCCAAGGGCCGAAAGAGTGAAGCACTCGAAGCGCATGTACCGGGCAATTCATTCTAGGTTAAGAGGTGTTCAGACATGTTCAGACCACCTTTCAATTCATTTAAGTTTGGTTCAGTGGCCTGGTGGGAGGGCAACCTTCTTTTTGGAGAAGGTTCTTCGAGTTGCTTTTTTCTTTCAGTGGTGGTTTCTTATTTGCAACTGACGGAAATGCCACTTATTCAAAGAAGCACACAAACTGCTGCTCATTGTCTGCAGGTGTTGGTCCCGTGCTGTTCAGATTGGAGTGCCCATTGTGTGAACTTTGAGCCTGGAATCCTGCAACATAATTGCACTGCTCCTATAGGACACAGTACAGTCGTTATGCCCACATATGCCCAAATGGTGATGGCCTGATCAGGGGCCGTACTAGTCTAATCCGACACCTCATGGCCGCGAAACTGGAGCTTCGCCCCATTTCTCCGCCTTGATGGTCTTTGCCTTGCTAGCAATTCTGGTCTTCGGCTTCCACTCTCGACCAATCTTCCACTCAACTTACCCCCTTTTGGCGTCGGCCGGAGCTCCTCCCAACCCCCCCACGATAGGTTGCCCGGCCGTCTTCGTCTTCTTCCGCCTCCACCTCGGCCTTAGCCTCTAAGAGCCGGTCCACCACGGAGAGGTGCCCCTTCCCGGCCGCGACATGGAGAGGTCTCACGCCTCGGAAAGGCCGGGGCCATGGAGGGCACCTCAGCCCTTGGCACCCAAACACACAAGAATCTGGGCACTCACCATATCCAAAGCCGTGAACTCTTCCACTCAACTTATTATCCATGTCTTTTCCAGAGCTCCTCCGCCCTGCTCGGGTTTCCTGGCCATCGCTGCTCCGGTCAATCACCTTAACAACCCACCGACCGAGGTGAGAGGCCTCTTCATGCGGCGGCCAGCAACGGCAGTTCCGACGTGGTGGAGCGGCTCCTTTCGGCCCGGGCGGATCCGGAGGCCCAGATGAACAATGGCCGGGTGGCCCATGGGGTTCAAGCAGTGATATAGAACGATTTGAAAGTGGTTTTGAGGCATCTTGTGGAGGTGCCAAGAACTGGGTCACATTGCAGTGGACTTGTAGCAAGGCATCACCAGAGTCTCATGAATGTCTAGTTATTTCATGTCATTGAAGGATCATTTTTGAAGCTTCAAGGAGACACTTCTGGACAAACTAATCTATTATGTGTGCTGCACGTGGTGCATTGGTGCAGATTTGGGGTTCAACTTGAACACAGACATGCCTGCCTGCCTGCCTTAAATCAGACACTTTTGAGGAGATCTGAGTTGGACAAACTAAATTAGGTGTGATGCACGCGGTGCATGCGCGTGGCGGCCACCGGAGTTCATGTGCCACACAGGGCATGTTCAGCTGAGATGTACCTCTTGACAACCCCTCTTAAATTTTGCACTGTTTTTTTGTCTCAGCACTTTGGCTTTTAGTGGGCGTGACAATTTGCCAGCTACTGTAACCTTCAAGAGTTGTTACATGGTCTAGTTCTTTGTCGCCTGTGTGTTTGGGTATTTGATATTGTTTGTTTATGCTTCATGTTTTTT